AGCCCCATGACCAAAAAAAAAAAAAACAAACAAACAAAAAAACAGAAACAAAAAGCACTCAAAATGACATTATTTCCAATCTCTTCTCCTCACAGATAAGAAAAACTGATGGAGAAGTTATGGATCAAAAAGCCAATAGGAATTTGTTTTTAAGTCACTATTAAACTTTACCGACGTCTTAATTATCAAACTTGACACTTCTATCACTGACATCTTAATATATTTTATTTAAATAAAGAATATTTTCCTATGACAACCATCAGCTTGTTTCTTATTTGCCCTTGTGTTCACATTCTCATTTGCTGACCAAAAGTCTAGAGGGCTTATTTGACTCTGTTATTAATAGAGGATATAAGTCTATGGCAATAATGCTGTTATTAAGTTCTTCATCTCCCAAACTTTTCTCATGTATTATATTCTAAGTCACTTATACAACCATCAGATCAATGTTCTTTAATAAATTCTCTTCTAGGGGTTGGGAAGGTATCTCAGCGGTAGTGTGCTTGCCTCCCATGCATGAAGCCCTAGGTTTGATTCCTCAGCACCACATAAACAGAAAAGGCCAGAAGTGGCACTGTAGCTCAAGTGGTAGAGAGCTAGCCTTGAGCTAAAGAGCTCAAGGACAGTGCCCAGGCCTAGAGCTCAAGCCCCACGACTGACCAAAAGCAACAACAATAAATTCTCTACTAGTTTTTCATACTCATCTGAGTTTGGAGCTTGGTTCTAAATGCACCTTTCTTAAAATCTTTAAAGTTAGTTCATCCTCCTCTCATTACACCTATTCTTTGACATCGTTCACTTTTTTTTATTTTTATTTATTTATTTATTTTTGCTTATGTGGTGCTGAGGAATCGAACCCAGGGCCTCAGGCATGCAAGGCAAGCGCTCTATCACTGAGCCACCTTCCCAGCCCTGACATCGTTCATTTTTAAATGTTACCCTTTGCCCTCCAACCATTCAAGTCCATGTTTTAGTATTGTTTTTATTTTCAATCCAACTCCTATTTTCACTAAAATCTTTCATGTCTTTTCACAGCAGTTAAATATAGACAATTTTCTCTAACATCAGTCATACCAAATCTTCATAAGGGAAGTCAGAATCACCATGTGGCTTTTTATTTCCTACACAACTAGCCTGGTGCTGTGCATCTCATATTCAAATACTTTGCATCTTTTTTTGAAACCATATTTCTCTATGTAACCTCAAACTTGCTATGAAGCCCAAACAGGCCTTGAATTTTTTTATTGTCCTGCCATGCCCCCCCACCACACACACACCTCCATTTCCATCACTTCCAGTTTACTTGTTGCTTAGGCTGAACCAAGACCCCATTGATTTAGTTAGCTAGCTACTTAGTTAATTGGTCATGGGGCTTGAACTCAAGGTCTGGGCACTATCCTTGACCTTTTTTGCTCAGGATTAGCGCTCTACTGCTTTGAGCCACAGCACCCTTCTTGTTTCAGCCTTTGAGCTGAAGAGCTGAGGGTCAGCACTCAGGCCAAGTTCAAGCCCCATGACTGACCAAAAAAAAAAAAGAAAGGAAAACCAAAATGACTTAACCAGATGAAAAATACTTCTTAAAAAGTAGATTGGGGGCTGGGAAGGTGGCTTAATGTAGAGTGCTTGCCTTGCATGCATGAGGCCCTGGGTTCAATTCCTCAACACCATATAAGCAGAAAAAGTCAGAAGTGGTGCTATGGCTCAAGTGGTAGAGTGCTAGCCTTGAGCTAAAACGCTGGGGGACAGTGCCCAGGCCCAGAGTTCAGGCTCACAACTAGCAAAAAAAAAAGTGGATTGGCAGCCAGGCGCTGGTAGCTCACGCCTATAATCCTAGCTACTCAGGAGGCTGAGATCTGAGGATCTCAATTCAAAGCCAGTCTAGGCAGCAAAGTCCATGAGACTCTTATCTCCAATAAACCACAAAAAAAAACAGAAGTGGTGCTGTAGCTCAAGTGGTAGAGTGCTAGCCTTGAGCTGAAATGCTCAAGGACAGAGCCCAGGCCCACAGTTCAAGCCCCACAACTAAAAAAAAATAGTGGACTGGAGGTGTGGCTCATATGGTAGAATGCCAGCTATGAGTAAGAAAAACTGAGCAAGAGTTCAAGATCCTGAGTTCAAGCCCCGGTACACACACACACACACACAAATAATAATTTGTATTTAATTTAAAAAGTAGAAATTGTTTCCTCAATAGGAAATGTACTCATTACCTTACTCATGTAACTGTACAGTATTTTTACAATAAAATACATAAAAAGTAGAAATTGTTTCAGGGGTAGGTAATGTTTCTTCAGCATAATATTACCCTTCTATCTTTCTAACAGTCTTCAGAAAGTTCTCATTTCCTTTCCTATCTCAAACCAATAGTGGCTCATAAAGAATGGCTTACAATTTACATGTTAGAAACCAACACCAGAAAAAATGTGAGATGCTATTTGATGCTGAATTCTTAGGAAATAACTACCTACAGCTCAGAGAAAAAAGAGCAGATTTATTAAGTACTATTTGTATATTGGTAACTCTTACAGGCAATGTGGATTACAGAATCATGAGACACATTTTCTGATACAGAATCTAAAATATAGACAAAATATCACTACTTTCATTCTCCTCACTCATCTTGTAATTTACGTTAGCTTTCTAGAGCTAGCTAAACATTGGCTATTCCTTGGCAAGCCCCCATTAGAAGCCTTTCTTTAAACATGTTTGTTCTCTTTTTTAACTTTATTAAGTAGTTGTACAAAGAGGTTATAATTCCCTAAGTCAGGATATGAGTACAATACATTTTGATCAATGTTACCCCATCCATCATTTTCCCCCTCCAATCCCTACCCTCATTACATAATTTAATTTTTATATAATGTACATTGAATTCTAGTTATAGCATTTGCACACTCTACCTCAATTCATGTGCCTACCATTACCCTCATCCCAAAAATAGGTTTCCATTTCTGGCCTCTGTGTGTGTGTGTGTGTGTGTGTGTGTGTGTGTGTGTGTGTGTGTGTGTGTGTGTGTGTGTATGTGCGTGTATGTGTGCCAGCCTTGGGGCTTGAACTTAGGTCCTTGTACTTTCACTTGGCTTTTCCCCTCAAGGCTGGAGCTCTACCACTTGAGTCACCAAAAAAATGCACTTTCCAACTAAGATTGTTTTTTTTCCTTCTCCCAAAGTACAGATGTGTCTTTTTACTCCTTAGTCCAAAGGCTTTATTTATAGCCTTTATTAATTCTAAAAATATAGTGTATAATTTAGGGATAAATGCTAGTCTGCACACAAATAGAACCAATAAGAATCAGATTCAACTTTGGGTATCAGCTAGCTCCTAGAATGACCCTTGTGTAAATTACTTTGTCTCATTGTTTCTTTCCTTTTTCAAATATGATGAACCTGGCTGGAAAATCAGTCTAAAAGAAAACACAGCAGGGATTTCAAATATGGCAGAAACTTTCTGGTCTGAAAAGGAATGAACAAAGCATTTAAGAATAAAAAGAACAGATGTGGGTGCATTTTTATTTCAAAATCAGCACTGAAAGACAGGTTTGGCTTTTATTGGTATGTTCACAAGCTTGTTCCCTGGTGCTAAATGGAACAGCGTTATCAATTGAGCATCCTGTCACCCTGACAAGGCATTACTAAAGGCAGTGAAGCTTGATTCTGTATTCTGGTTTAGGACCCACTCCCCACCCTCTCAAGCCTTTAGTTCTTTCTTCTTCATAAATGTCAATCTGCAGGTATCTTGAATGAAGAGTATTTATGGTCATAACAGCAGTGACCCAAAAAATGCCTGAAAAAATTACATTTTTGGTTCAAAACACTCTGGCCCCATTAACTGTGCATGAATGATATTGTGATCTATTCAGAAATTTAGGATTTCATGACAATTATTTGGAAGTATTTCCTCATAATCTGAAACTGACTTGCCAAAAACAGCAGCCTTTTCAAAACTGCTTTGTTCAAAACTTGTAGAGAAGCTTTCATTCTTAGCAATTTAACTCTGGGGGAAAAAGCACTTAATGGCTTGCTCCTCCCTCACATGAATCATCTAGGCCATCCAGGTGAAAGAATAGCTTTTAGAAATCCAAAACAGTGCCTAGGTCAGTGTTTCTTAGCATTGGCTGCATATTAAAATCATCTGTGTAGGTTTTTAAAAATAACTATGCCTAGCTATTTCTGATTAATTTGTCTGGATAGGAACTTGGCATAGAATGTCTCAATAGCTCCCCAGATGACTCTAATGTGCAGTCATGATTAAAAAAAAAAAAAACTGTCCCTCAACAAAAATGGCTTGAGTCCATCTTCCATCAACATCTATTTCTTTGGAACTAATAATTTATGTTTACAAACTACTCATGTAAAACATAGAATGTCTCGCTCCCAAGATCCTCTTCATGGAAGTTACATTCAAATATTACTATTAAGATAGGTTCTTTCAAGTCATACTTAGGTTCTAACCTACTGAAATGTGTCAGTGAATATGACACCTACTGAAATCTCAGTATTTCAGCACCCAGAATAACCTGCCAGACTGCCTCTAAGGTTTTGGATAATAAAAACTTTGTTATATCACATCTTTTACATTGTGACTTCTAATAATATCAATAGCTGTGTACCGTGGCACATGCCTGTAATCCTAGCTACACAGGAGGAGGACATCTAACCATCATGGTTCAAAGCCAAGCAAGAAAGTATGCTACACTCTCATGTCCAATTAACCAACAAAAAGCCAGAAGTAGAGCCATGGCTCAAGTAGCCTTGAGTAAAAAAGCTCAAGGACAGCATCTAGTTCAAGCCCCAGAACCAGCACAAACACAAACACACACACACACACACACACACACACACACACACACACAACCAATAAATAGATCTAGCTTCAAGGCAAACACTTTCCTTTTCTGTTTATCCTTCAAAAGGTCCTTGTTTTCCATAATTTATAAGAATTTACAAATTCAACCACTTTCTGGCATGTATTATATTGTCAGTTAACTATTATTCCACTTCTTACTTCCTAAGCACTTTGGGAATAAAAATCTATATTATTTTAAAATCTATATTATTTTAAAATCTATATTAAAATCTGTATTATGTGTATATATATATATATAGTTACACATATGTATGTTATTTTGTTACATACATATGTACACATATATTTTGGTTACATGTATCTCTATACTGTTACACAATATGTTTAACAAAATGAACCGGTATCTGTACACAAATTGTGTAACAAAATAATATATAACAAAGACAATTGATTTATATGTTTGCTTTTCTATTTCAAATTTTAACTTTGACCCACTTTTCATCTCCAACCTAAAACTTCCTTTAATCCAAGAAGGCACATCCACCATCCTACCATTCATTCATTGCCTTTTGAATTTTGAGATTCTCTTATACATTGGTAAACAGACACAAAATTCCCAATCTTGTTGATTGTTTCTTTTGAATTTGTATTTTGTTTTTTTTGTTTACTTGTTTTTTTTAACTGTTCTATATAAATAACTGGTAAGCAAGAAAATCCGTCAAGGCATGATTAAAGCTTCACCTCATCATCCCATAGAGAACTATTGGGGACTAGACAGGGTGGGCTCAGAAAGAATGGAACCCAGGCCAAGAAGCAATGAGGATTGTGGGGACGAGTTACAGCAGAGAAAGACTACCCCAGGCCTACCACATTACCTCAGCCCCATAGAGGCCATGATGAGTCGCCGGAAGTGGGCCCCACCCTGGCGTCGTGGGCCGGAAGTGAACGTTGCGCCGGAAGTAGACGTTGCGGAGGCCCGTGGCTGTGGCCCAGGCGGCTGTGGCGAAGGCTGCTGTGGTAAGACCACTTCTTGCTTTTCAACTGAGGTAGGAAGGACACAGGGCCCCCGTTTTAGCTCCTCCAAATAAATCACCTTGAGGTTACCTTCACCATGGAGTACTTTCCCATTCTCTCCCCTATCCTTTGGCCCAGGGGATTTGAATGGAGCTGCTGCCGCCATTGACCTGTGCGGCTCCATCTTCCCTCAGGCTCCACGGGCCTCTTTCTTATCTTATTTGCAAGCCATCTTCCCTTACTCTTCTTTTCTTTTCTTGTTTTCTGTCGGTCGTGGGGCTTGAACTCTGGGCCTGGGTGCTGTCCCTCAGCTCTTCAGCTCAAGGCGAGCGCTCTACCACTTGAGCCACAGTGCCACTTCCGGTTTTTCTGTTTTTTTTTGTTTTTTTTTTTTATTGGAGGTAAGAGTCTCATGGAGTTTCCTGCCCGGGCTGGCTTTGAACTGCAATCCTCAGATCTCACCCTCCCGAGTAGCTAGGATTACAGGTGTGAGCCACCGGCTCCCGATTCCCTTACTTTTCTTATTTAGTGTAAACCTGCTCTGATTTTGAGGGGTGGATTGTTTATTTAAAGGAGGAAAATTACTGAGAATTCGACCTCCTGTTAGGAATTTAAACAGAAAAAGGAAAAGAAGAGAGGGTGGGTGGAGCCTGGCCTAGCCCTGCTTTCAAACCCTAGTACCCCCCACCCTCAAAAAAAAAGTCAAACAATAGGGTGTCTGTGTGTATACGTGTGTGTGTGTGTGTGTATGTATGTGTATGTACTGGTCCTGAGCTTGGATTCAGGGCCTAACACTGTCCCTGAGCTTTTTTCACTTATTGCTTGCACTCTTAACATGTTAGCCACCACTCCAATCCTGACTTTTTGGTGGTTAATTGGAGATAAGAGTCTTACAGACTGTCCTGCCTAGACTGGCTTTGAACCGCTATTCTCAGATCTCAGCCTCCTGAATAGGTAAGATTACAGGTGTGAGCCACCAGCACCCAGCTTCATCAGTCTTTTCTAGACCTTCAAATCAAGAAACACAATACTTATTCTTTCTTCCAGACTTTTTACAAATTTTGTTTTGGCAGATTGAATGCAGGGCCTGCAGCTGTGCTCTTTTTGCTTTAGGGAATTGTATGGGGAACCAAAGGAAAGCTGCATGGAAACAATAGCTGTACATACATCCATTTTTCAGAGCTTTCTATTGGGGTGGCTTTATAATAAAAATAGAATTTCCCATCATACTTGGCTTATTCAATCACAGTGATGAATAGATGCCTCCAGTAGAAGAGGATTTAAACTTCAAAATCATTTCTTTTAGTCTTTCACATTTCTGTTAGATTTCCTCTCTTATAACTGTGATTATAACTGTGATTAACTAATATAAAGTCTTGATTTACCATAAGATCCTTTCATTTTTAAGAATTTAAGAGGAAATCTTTAAAACAGAATCCTGTTATTTCTCTGTTTATGCAAAATTTAACACTTTTCCTGACTTAACCCAAACAGGTAAATGATGATAGGCTGTTGTGATACCACTTAAAATAGACATCTTGTTAAAGTCAGGCATTGGTGACTCACACCTGTAATCCTAACTACTTGGGAGGCTGAGATCTGAGAGTCACAGTTCAGAGCCAGCCCGGGCAGAAAAGTCTGTGAGACTCTTCAATAAACCACCTCAGTGGCACTGTGGCTCAAAGTGGTAGAGCGCTATCCTTGAGCAAAATAACTGAGGGACAGCACCCAGGCCCTGACTTTAAGCCCCATGGCCAACAAAAATATTGATAGTTTATATTAGTAATCCTTTCTGACTTAACTCTTGGTACGCCCTAGAACTAATTCCAAGGCTGAATTTGGTAATAATCTTAAAATGCTTTGAAGTAATAAAAATTGCTTCTATTTTTTTAGAAGAGCATGCACTAAGGATTTCTAAAAAGTGACCCCACTTCTTAGGGCTACTGTTTGATATACTTCATTTCTGATTCTTTAAACTATGTGTTTTTGTTTTTGTTTTTTGTCTTTTTTTCTCAGCAGTTGGAAACAGGTCCTGGGTTTTCAGCATGGAAGACACTTACAGTATGTATTTCTTGTTGCTTTGAGAAAATGAGTTGTTTACACATAGTTTGATGTATGGCTAGAGTTTTATTGTGTTGTGAGAAACAAAAGTCTGGTATTGATGTAGAGAAGTGCTCAAATTTGAAAAAAGATGAGTGTATGTGTATGTATATGTATATGTGTGTATGTGTATGTGTGTTGGTTGGTACTAGAGCTTGAATTCAGGGCCTGGATGCTGCCCTTTAGCTTTTGCAGTCAAGGCTGTTACTCTACCACTTGAGCTACAGCTCCACTCCCATCTTATTAAGAGTCTCACAGACTTTCCTGTCCTAGCTGGCTTGGAGATGCGATTTTTAGATCTCAGCGTCCTGAGTAGCAAAAATTACAAGCACAAAGCCACTGACTCACAGCTTTGAAATAGACATTTTAAGCTTAAGTAATTAAAGAAATAGAGAGCTGGGTATGGCGGCCGATATCTGTGATCCCAGCACTCAGAAAGCTGCAGCAGGAAGATTGTAACTAGCCTGGGCTATATGCCAAGATCCTCTCTCAAAGAAATAAAAACCTTTTGAGATGTATCTCAGTGGTAGAGCATTTGCCTAGACCCTAGGTTTTATCCCCAGTACTGAAAATAAAGATAAAATAAATTTTTCTTTAAAAAACCAGATTAGAGGGCTGGGAAGGTGGCTCTGTGGTAGAGTACTTGCCTTGCATGCATGAAGCCCTGGGTTCTATTCCTCAGCACCACATAAGCAGAAAAAGCCGGAAGTGGTACTGTGGCTCAAGTGATAGAGCACTAGCCTTGCGCTGAAGAGCTGAGGGACAGTGGCCAGGCCCAGAGTTCAGGCCCCATGACAGACAAAAAAAAAAAGATTAGAGGTGACCTAAAGTGCCAAAGACTAAAAAGTAAAGCATTATGGTAGCTCTCATTATAAACCCTGATATGTGCCACTATATAGGTAATAAAATATGTATGAATCATAAGATATGTCCATTCTGTCAGTTGTTGACATGGCCTGGTATTTGCCAGTGATGGAATGGATTAAATGAAGGGAAACTAACAAGAATTTCAACTGAAAATGCTCCCTGGGTGTTTTGAAGCTTCAAAAATAAGAAAAGATTGCTGGTCAAGAATAGCCTGGTTGGCATAATAAGCTTGCCTGTCCTCTAAGACTTTTCCTTCCTATTCATTCTGTCCTTCAAGTCACCTCTCTGGCTCATTTGCATCACGATCATGGTTAGCAATTTATTCCATGTTTACCACTCTTCCAGTGAAACTGTCTGTTTCAATTCCCCACTGGCTTCTGATTTTCATTGCAGTCTCCTAGTTTATAAGCATCTTATCAAATGTGAGCTGTTTATCTTGTTTTATCCTTCAGGAATGGAAAGAGCATTTTATTAGGTTGCATATTGTCCTCAGAATGTGTTTAACTATTGAATTTCCCTTCTTTAGCTAAGCTTATTAAGATTTGGGGCTCAGTCTGGATATATTTTTATAGCCTAAGAGTAGTTTTTAAAAAGCATAATATGTTAGGGGACTTTTTTTCACTTTAGAGTTCCATATGTCTTCAGTTAACTTAGCCTCAGAAATTGTTTCTTTTTGTGCCAGTACTGGGGTTGAACTCAGGGCCTGGGTGCCGTCCCTTAGCTTTTTTGCTCTAGTCTGGTGCTTTACCACTTGAGCCACAGCTCAATTAGAATTAGACTTTCATATACTTTTCTGCCCGGACTGGCTTCAAACAATGATCCTCAGAGCTCAGCCTCCTAACTGGCTAGGATTACAGGAGTGAGCCACTAGTGGCTGGCTAGGCGTTTGTTTGTTTTTATGGTGTTTTGTTTTGTTTTTGAAGATTGTTCTTTTTGAGGGAGGTGGGGTAATTCATGGAGCTTGAATTCAGGATCTGGGTTCTGTCCTGAGTTTTTTCGCTCAAAGCTAGCACTCTACCACTTTGAGCCACAGTGCCATTTCTGGTTCTCTGGTAGTTAATTGGAGGTATAAGTCTCACAAACTTTCTCTCCTGTCTGGGCCGACTTTGAACTGTAATCCTCAGTTCTCAGCCTCCTGAGTAACTAGGGATACAGTCATGAGCCACTGGGTGGCCTGGTAGATTGTTCAAAAAAAATTATTTGTTTTGTTTTGTTGTTGGTTATGGAGCTTGAACTCAAAGTCTGGGTGCTGTCCCTGAGCGCTTTTCTTCAAGACTAGTGCTCTGTCACTTTGAGCTATAGCTCAACTTCCAGTTTTTGAGTGGGTAATGGGAGATAAGAGTCTCACAGGGACTTTTCTGCCCAGGCTGGCTTCAAACCACTATCCTCAGATCTCAGCCTCCTGAGTAGCTAGGATTCAGGCATGAACCACCAGCACTCAGTGAGTACTCAATTTTTTAATTAGCCAATTTGGTAATAATTGATTTTTTTCTTATCCATGCTCTTGAAAATTAAACTACCAATCTAATATAGGTAACAGGATTGTTTGAAAGATAACTAGAATAATCAATATCAACTACTTACAGAAGTAAATTAAAGCAATCTGATATGAAAAAAATCTAACATTTTTCAAACTTTTATAATGTACAATTGCATTATTTATCAACTTTGTTCATGTCATGGGATAGTAGAAATATACAGGATGCCGATAAAAGAGCTAATTTACCCTTAGAACTGGTTGTATTGGGATTGGAGGATGATTTGCAGGCATAGTAGGCCACAAGAGGGGATACTGGCATGTCCACAAACCACTTCAACTTTGACATAGTGGTTGGGAAGCTCTGGTTGAACTAGATAGCAGAAATCAACATGAATTACCACTTTGAGCAAAAGACTGATGACTCATGCCTGTAATCCTAGCTCCTCAGGAGGCTGAGATCTGAGAACCATTGTTCAAAGACTCTTACCTCCAGTGAACCAGCAAAAAAAAAAAAAAAACCTAGAAATGGAATTATGACTCAAGTGGTAGTATGCCAGCTTTGAGCTAAAAAGCTAAAGGATAGCAAGCAGGCCCTAAATTCAGGCCCCACTACCTGCACATACACACGTGTATATGCACACACTTGTGTGCATGCACTCGCGCGCGTGTGTGTGTGTGCGCGCACACACACACACACACACAGAGGAACCAAGTGATAGTAATTCATGACGATAACCCTAGCTACTCTGGAGGGGAAGATCTGAATATCTCAAATATGCTTACTAAGACCTTACCACATACTTTCTAGTTCTTGCTTATGATTCAGTGATAGATGGGTGCCACCTGTGGCTCTGGTCTGTGGCTCCACCTGTAATCCTAACTACTCAGGAGGTTGAGATCTATGGATCCTGGTTCAAGACAGCCAGGGCAGGAAAGTCAGTGAGATCCTTATCTCCAATAAAGCACCAAAAAACTAGAAGTGTAGTTGTGGCTCAAGTAGTAGAATACTAGTCGTGAGCATAAAAGCTCAGAAGTGCCCAAGCCCTGAGTTCAAGTCCCGTGGCTGGCACCAAAAAATAAAAACAAGATTTAGTGATAACACAAATTTATTTTCTCATAGTTATATTTTTATTTCTAATTGTTTTTGTTTTGTGCCAGTCCTGGGGCTTGAACTCAGAGCCTGAGCATTGTCCCTAAGCAGGCCTCAAATCTCAGCCTCTTGTAGCTAGGATTACAGGCTTAGCCACTAATTCTGGGCTCATTTTCAATTGTTTAGTCACCCTTTATTGAAATATTTTGTTTTCACTGTTTTGTTCTATTATTATAAATTCTGTTGCAAAATCCAGTGTGCTTGGAAGACTGTAGTTTTTACAAGACCCTATTATACTTTATACTTACTGTATTTTTCTTGCAGTCGACTCTCTGGACCCTGAAAAGCTATTACAATGCCCATATGATAAAAATCACCAGATCAGGGCCTGCAGATTTCCGTACCATCTTATCAAGTGCAGAAAGGTAAGATATTGTTTTCATAATTTGTCCTCTAATATCCTCTTCAGTTTTGTTTTTAGTGTGCCAGTCCCAGGGCTTGAACTCAGGGCCTAGACACTATCCCTAAGCTTCTTTTGCTCAGGGCTAGCACTCTACCACTTGAGCCACAGCTCTGCTTCCAGCTTTTTTTTTTTTTTTTCTGTCTTGAGGCTTGAACTCTGGGCCTGGGCACTATGCCTCAGCTCTTCAGCTCAAAGCTAGCACTCTGCCACTTGAGCCACAGCACCACTGCCCGTTTTCTACTGGTTTATTGGAGATAAGAGTCTCATGGACATTCTTGCCTGGGCTGGCTTTGAACCTTGCTCCTCAGATCTCAGCCTCTTGAGTAGCTAGGATTACAGGCATGAGCCGCCGGCATCCAGCTAATTTTTCTTTGCTGATATGTTTATTATCTTGGTAAGGATTGAGTGTTATAAATCTCTATGATTTTTTCTATTCAGAAATTTTAGGGAAATTGACTATATCAAGAAAATAATCATTCCAAAATATAATTTTCTCACCGGATGCCAGTGGCTCATGCTTGTAATCCTAGCTACTCAGGAGCCTGATATCTGAGGATCACAGTTTGAAGCCAGCCTGGGCAGGAAAGTTCACAAGACTCTTATCTCCAATTAACCACCAGAAAACTGGAAGTGGTACTGTGGCTCAAGTGGTAAAGCACTTGCCTTGAGCTGAAGAACTCAGGGGCAAAGCCCAGGCCCAGAGTTCAAGCCCCATGACTGACAAAAAAAAAGAAAAGAAAAATTTCTCCATATTTCAACTTCTTACTAAAATATATCATTTTCTCTCTGTTCATTGTTTTATAGACTTAGCCTGTAGTAATTAAGAGGCATTTTAAGGACTAGGAATGTGGCTAAGTGGTAGAGTGCTTGCCTAGCATGCATGAAGCCCTGGGTTTGATTCCTCAGTAATCAGTACCACATAAACAGAAAAAGCTAGAAGTGGCACTGTTACTCAAGTGGTAGAATGTTAACCTTGAGCAAAACAAGCTCAGGGACAGTGCCCAGGCCCTGAGTTCAAGCCCCAAGACTAGCCAAAAAGCAAAACAAAAAAGAGGCATTTTGACAGGGTTGTTAGAATGTAGATGCCAGATACAGAGACCAAAATTCTGCTAGCATTTATGCTTAGGAAACAACTTTAAAGTTTAATCCAGGGTTGGGATGTAACTCAGTAGCAAAGCACTTGCTTAGCAAGTTCAACATCCTGGGTACAATACCCAGTACCAAAAAAGAAAAAAGACAAGTTTAGTCCAAACTATATAATACCCTTTAAAATATTTCTTTTAAGTAGTATGTAGCTTAGTGATACAGCATGTGCCTTGCATGCTTGAAGTCCTAGATTCAAGCTCTAGCATTAACAAAAGAGTTTCATTTACATTTCTAGAAACATAAGTTGCCTTTGTTAATTATTTCTGTAGCTCCTTTCAGTCTGGAGATCAAAGATCCCTAGACAATTAAACCTGGACAATTTGGGTCAGCATTATCATAAAACTTCCCTAGGCTCTTAACATTTCTCAAGGATAAAAATTGGGAAGGAGATCCAAGTGGTTGAAATACATTGTTATATAATTCCTATCTTCTATTGTCCTCCTTAATCTTTGGCCATAAACCATTGCATTGAACACCTGATATCCCTTACAAAAATGAAAATGATGGAAATTTCTGCCCCCATGAGTTTTCTTGGGTTTGTAGTTTTTGTCTTTCAATTCAGGCCTAGTGCTTCTAGGTAAGCACTCTTCCAGTTGAGCCACACACCACAACCCTTTTAGCTTCAGTTTTCACATAGGGTCTCCAGCTGTTACCAGGGCCTCAGGATTTTGGTCCTCCTTCTACCTCTTGTACAGCCAGGATTACATCTGTACACAACCTCAATTAGCTAGGTTTTTTTTTTTAGCTAGTTTTTTGAGATAGGACTTGCTAACTTTTGGGGAGATGAAGGAGGATTTTGCTGGCCTTGAACTTCAATATTCCTATCTCTGCTTCCTATATAGTTGGAATTATAGATGTGCCACCAACCCCAGCTGTGAGTTTCTTAATCCTTATGTTTATCTAGCCTTCTACACATTAATTTTACTTTTGAGTTCCATTTGTGACATATCTTTGTCTTTTTCTAATAAATTTCCTAATTGCTGATGTACTTGCCACAGATTTGAGTGATATTAAACCTTCTGTTTTGTTTTAAAACAGGGAACTTGGTCAGCAAAGTAATTTCTGTCATTTGGGCTGTTCCTTAGTGAAATAGCTGAAATAAAGGTCAAACTGTTCAGAGCCTCATTTCAAGCATCATTACTTTAAATAATCAGCCCTATGTTAATCTGCAAAATCATTGGTTTGTCTCTTCTGCAGCTTCCTTTATAAAAGCTATTTTCCAACACTGTTTTATTGCAATAGCAGAGTCCCTACTGCAATGCAGACTGTTTTAGAATTACTGCCTTCTGAATAGCAGCTTTCAAAGACATCCATAGAATCTCCATTACAGACTATGCCGCCTGAATATTGTGAATCAGAGAAATAAAGATACAATTCAAATTTACTGTTTAGCTCTATATAAGCCACTTAAATTCTAATACTTGTGTTGTCAGTCTCTACTATCATAACAACAAGGCTTATATTTTGATGATTTTGAAGTAATGTTTATATAGCCTACATGAGCAATAACAATTCCTTCTTTTCTACAGTGAGTTAAACAACAAATTTGTCAAGGACTTTCAGGGAACCCATTTACAGAATGAGGTCTGAACCATTCCCTTTAGTCTTTAAGAGACTGAAGAACTAACAGATCCCTTAATTTTGGTTCCACAGAATCATCCTGATGTCGCAAACAAATTGGCCACTTGTCCCTTCAATGCTCGCCATCAGGTTCCTCGGGCTGAAATCAGTCATCATATCTCAAGCTGTGATGATAAGAGTTGTATTGAACAGGATGTGGGTAAGCCTAGCTGGCTAAGTGTTTTGACCTAATCTGAATATTAGTCACTTCAGATTTGCATGATGCTATAGTGTCAGCTTGATTTGGTTTTTTTGACATTTCTAAAGAATAGTATTTTTCTCATGGTAACAATAGCTTGTCAGGTTGTGTATGTGTGTGTGTGTGTGAGAGAGAGAGAGAGAGAGAGAGAGAGAGTCAGATTACTTTCTCTTCTGAATACTGTGCTTCATTTTTCTAATAAGTCACCTAAACAAATTGTTGTCATAAATATGGTAAACGTCTTTGTTTCTGCTTTTCTTTCTAGTCTCCTATCATCAAAAAAGATAAAACCCCTCTGCCGGCAGCCCTTTATCCACAATAACTTAGCAATGCCCCCTTCACAATCAAATTTCTTTTGTCTTGCAGTCAACCAGACTAGGAACCTTAAACAAGAGACTCTGGCAGAGAGCACATGGCAGTGCCCTCCTTGTGATGAGGACTGGGATAAAGGTGAAGTCATTCTGCATCTTTCCCTCACTATGTCTAAATCTCAAGTCGTTTGCTTAAGACAGAAGGAAGATTTTCTTTTTTTATGAACACACCATGTTGTTTCCACCGCCTTATTATTTTTATTGGACCCCAAAATGAACACATTTGTATCACTGTGCAGACACACAGAACAGCTTATCCCTCTTGATTGGAAAATGCACTTCTTTACATCTGCTTTTTCCCATAAATTGTGTTGTACCATCTGTGTTTGATTGTTACTAGGCACGTTTATTATTATTTATGTCACTCGTGTTTATATCCTTCAATTAAATTCCTGCTTCTGTGTCACTTAGGCAGGGTATTTGATCAATTTGTACTTGCATCTCCAACTTGAGTATTGTTTCCAATCTTACAAATTCAATACCATAAACTGATGCCTTGTCTAATAGTACCACAAATGATATTTTGTCTCCTTTGGCAGATTTGTGGGAACAGACCAGCACTCCATTTGTCTGGGGCACAGCCAACTTCTGTGGCAACAACAGGTAAATAAAATGGTGTCATTCGCAGCACTACTCCCCAAATCAAAGTGTCCTGTTACCAAGATGCAAAGTCACCATTGTTCCTTAATGATGTCCTTTGGTGTGGTAATCTAGTACATATATTGTTTTGGTGAATTTTTTTCTTACTTATTCCTTGATTTAAAAAAATCATGTACTGGGGCTGGGAAGGTGGCTCAGTGGTAGAGCGCTTGCCTTGCATGCATGAGGCCCTGGGTTCAATTCCCCAGCACCACATAAGCAAAAAGAAAAAAAGCCGGAAGTGGTGCTGTGGTTCAAGTGGTAGAGCACTAGCCTTGAGCTGAAGAGCTGAGGGCCAGTGCCCAGGCCCAGAGTTCAGGCCCCACAACCAGACCCAAAAAAAAAAAATCATGTACTTTGTGCTAATCATTGGAAATACAAAATGCTACCTTATAGCCTAACAAGGGAGGAGGTAGGGCTAGGCATTCTTGTTTTCTTTCTCTCTGTGTGTGAGTCCACGTGTGCACACACGTGCTTACAAGCTCCGGGGCTTGATCTCAGGGCCCAGGTACTGTCCCTCAGCTTTTGTGTTCAAGTCTAGTGTTCCACTTGAGCCACAACTCCACCTCCATTTTGTTTGTTTCGCTGGTTAATTGGAAACAAAGAGTCTCATGGCCTTTCCAGACTGGCTGGCTTGAACTGCAGCCCTTGGGTCCCTCTCCTGAGTAGATAGGGATCACAGGTATGAGCCACCAGCACTAAGAAATATTCCTATGGGGTTTTTTTATTTTTTGGTTTTTGTGGTTTTTGTTTTTTTTTAGTTTTGTCAGTCATGGAACTTGAACTAGGGGCCTGGTGCTGTCCCTGAGCTGTTTTGTTCAAGTCTAGCACTCTACTACTTAGAGCCACAGCACTACTTCCAGGTTTTCTTTGTTGGTGTTTTGTTGTTGGTGTTTTGTTTTGTTTTGTTTTTTTGGTCAGTCGGGGGTCCTGAACTCTGGGCCTGGGCACTGTCCCTCAGCTCTTCAGCTCAAAGTTAGCACCCTACCACTAGAGCCACAGTGCCACTTCCAGCTTTTTCTGCTTATGTGGTGCTGAGGAATCAAACCCATGCATGCAAAACAAAGCACTCTACCACTTAGCCACCTTCCCAGCCCTACTTCCAGTTTTCTGGTGGTTAATATAAGATATGAGTCTCATGGACTTTTCTGCCTGGGCTGGCTTTGAAAGTGATACTCAGATCACATTTTAGGATTACAGGCCTGAGTCATTAATGCCTAGCATTCCTATATTTTAATTGGGTAGATTTATCTTGTCTAGGTAAATTTAATTTGTTAGGTTTACCTTGATACTTGGGGAAAAACTCTTCAGCTATACCTCTTCAGTCATTCTTACTCTGGGAAAATAATGTCTAAAAAAGTGATGTAAGAAGTTCTTTATCTGAGATTGAGATTTGATAATCCAGAGTATCTATTGGTTAGGAAATAAAATACATTTCTTCTTCCCACTAATTTTTGTATCTAATTTAAACTATTAAGATTTCTCATGGGCTGGGAAGGTGGCTCAGTGGTAGAGTGCTTGCCTTGCATGCATGAGGCCCTGGGTTCGATTCCTCAGCACCACATAATCAGAAAAGGCCGAAAGTGGCGCTGTGGCTCAAGTGGTAGAGTGCTAGTCTTGAGCTGAAGAGCTGAGAGACAGCGCCCAGGCCCAGAGTTCAGGCCCCACGACCGACAAAAAAACAAAAACAAGATTTCTCATTACCATCAACATTCAAACCTTAGAAGATTGAATTTTAAATTCAAATGAGACTATTTCTGGATTAAAAAGTGAAGGAATAAATAGGATGCTAGATTTCATTTTTCCCCACTTAGAATGCGTATAGTTGTTTATTTTTAATTGTAAAGATGCTGTACAGAGGGTTTACAGTTACATGAGTAAGGCAATAAGTACATTACTTGTCGATCATTGTTACTCCTGTTGTCCCACTATCCCTTCCTTCCTGTACCTCCCACACTCCTCCTCACTCCACCCCAACACCCCCACCCCACCCCTACATAGAGGTTTTTATTCTTAGTTTCTGAAGCTAATTAATTGAAAGTGTACAATTTTATGTGTCATAGAGTAGAAAAACTTAAAAAGAATTGCACTGGTTACAACTTTCACTTTTGCCTCAGTTTTATGAGATTTGCTGCCTTTGATTAAGTTGAATGCATTTTGGTTTATGTCTTACTTTTATTGAGTGAGTTGATGAGCCTATGATACTATTGAACAGTAGATGGCATTGCAGTTTATCTTAATTTCTAAAAAATTAAAATAGAAGCATCTTAATTTCTATATAGAGCCAGGAACTTTCCAGAGAAAGAGTAGGGCTGGGAAGGTGGCTCAGTGGTAGAGTGCTCGCCTTGCATGCATGAGACCCTGGGTTCGATTCCTCAGCACCACATAAGCAAAAAGAAAAAAAAGCCGGAAGTGGCGCTGTGGCTCAAGTGGTAGAGAGCTAGCCTTGAGCTGAAGAGCTGAGGGACAGCGTCCAGGCCCAGAGTTCAGGCCCCACGACCGGACCCAAAAGAAAAAAAAAAAGTAATCATTCTAATTGCAAGAACGTTTGTTATAGAAATGTGTTTACATTTCAGCCGGGCACTGGTGGTTCACACCTGTAATCCTAGCTACTCAGGAGGCTGAGATCTGAGGAGATGGTTCAAAGCTAGCCCAGGCAAGAATGTCTGTTAGACTCTTATCTCCAATAAACAACTAGAAAACCAGAAGTGGTGCTGTAGCTCAAATGGCAGAGCGCTCACTTTGAGCTGAGGGACAGTGCCCAGGCCCAGAGTTCAAGACAAAACACAAAAAACAAAAAGAAATGTTTTTACATTTCAGATGAATGTAGGTTGTTTTTTCGCCCTAGTTACAAGAAAACACATTTTTATTATCTTGTGTATATGTGCTAAAAAATGTAGATATGCTGACATAGTGAAATTCCTCCTCTTTTTTTTTGCAGTCCAGCAAGCAACATAGTTATGGAACATAAGAGTAACCTGGCCTCTGGCATGAGAGTTCCCAAGTCTTTACCATATGTTCTGCCATGGAAAAACAGTAAGTAAAATAGAGGCAAAAACATTTTACTCGTTTCATTGTGAAAAAGTAGTTGGTTCAGATTATTCAGATGTGTTTGGTCTGAACACGTTCATGTACTTTGCATCACTGACTCTATATAAAGGACCCTGCAAATACCCTAAGTATCCCATTCATGTCATCCTATTCCTATCCCTGGTTAGAAACAAGAAAATATAAGAGCACAAAAAAAACAAAAGAAATTTTCAAAGAATATTTTCAGTACTTCAAATAAATTTGGGGACAAAAAAACTATTGATTTGGCTAAGAGAAAAATCATCCCTGATTGTCAAGGCATAATATCAGTAACAAATTGGAATAAGGAATTATATTGCAGGGACCTAGAAGGAAATTAGAAAAAGAAATTCGTAAGAACCAGCATAAGAAATGGAATTCCATGTGGTCCCTAGACATCTGAGGCCATGCTGGGTAAACAGGTACTAAATTTCTACATTTGGAATAACCAAGTGTTAACCTTTATTTAGTATAAACTCTTTTTTTTCTGATACAACCCCAAAATTCACATTCTCTAATTTCAATCTTTACCAGTTTTTGAGTGGGTAATGGGCTAATTTTTGAGTGGGTAGAGAATGCCCTTTAAAATATCTCCCTTTGAATAATTGATCCCCAAAAAAAATGAAGTCACAAAATTATGTGTCAAAATGCTTGATGGGTGGGCTCTTTTCTCTTAATTGAAATCTTGTTACTAATTTTGAATTTTTATACTTTTATTATTCAGTATGTCCCAGAAATAAGTCATTTATGTTTAGTAAATATTGAGGATAAAGTGAATTTTGGTTGGCATGGTATATTTACTTTGAAATATTTCTACTTGTAGATGGGAATGCACAGTAACTGAACATCTTTCTTAAGTAAGTGTTTCAATTTTATTTCACTATCTCCTCTGATGATAGCAAGATTAAACTGGACATAAAGCAAGTTGGGTCCAATTTTCTTTCAGATTATGGTACCAAATTAAAAAGGGTTCTTGTGTGTATGTGTTTTCTCAATATATAGCCTCTGTTACGGCTTTCTACACTAATGAATAAGCATTTACTAGTTAAATTAGAATTCTGTTGACATCCTAAGTTGTTTTCCCTTACATTAGTACGTATTGCTTTTTTTTTTATCAAAGTTGAATTCATTCTAGATCTATCATGCCTCTTGTAATGGACTGAAATTAATCAGACAGTTTTGCTTCATTGCTCTGCAATTCTTTTCCTATGCCATATAGTTTTAATCATCATCAAAAAATCATACTTTTCAAAAAATCATACTTTTCTTAATGGGTACTTAAAAGTTCTGAATCTCTAAAGAGTCTCACTATTGATATTACATGAATGTTTGATTTAGCAGAGGGGACCAAAATCTTATTTCTACAGGTGAAGCCTTTCCTTGAGATTATCTTGTATGTACCTCTCGGAGCTCAGATACTTGAATGCTATCTTGGCTGAGGTTGCCCAGCCAAACTGCTCTTGGCAAAGGGAATATTATAAAGGCTGGGAATGGGATTATATCCCAACTGTCTTACAAATAGTAGGCCGTCAAGCAAATATTTATTGAATGAATGAATGATTAACCTGTTGCTTCAGGTCTCACACTGTGTACAGTGAAGCAGATGAATTTGTTAGAATATTTTTTTGGTCAGTCATGGGAATTAAACTCTGGGCCTGGGCGCTATCCCAGAGCTCCTCAGATCAAGGCAAGCACTCTACCACTTGAGCCACAGCGTCACTTCCGGTTTTCTGGTGGTTTATTGGAGATAAGAGTCTCACGTACTTTCCTGCCCACACTGGCTTTGAACTGTGATCCTCAGATCTCAGGCTCCTGAGTAGCTAGGATTACAGACGTGAGCCACTGCTGCCTGGCTTGTTAGGATTTTTAGATACCAGAATGAATGTTCCTTTTGGTGAGACATGATTGAGGCCAAAGTAAACACCCTTTAGCTATAAACAATAATATTTATCAGTTGCTTCTAGGTATTGGCCACTTCCATTGGTAGGTTCTGACTTAAAACTGTGGAATACATCTGCAAGCCAGAAAATGAGATTTAACCCCAGAAGAAGAAGAGATACAATAGTACTGGGGGGCTGTCAAAAAGCATACATTGAGCTGAACACCCATAGTTCACACCTGTAATCCTAGCTACTCAGGAGGCTGAGATCTGAGGATCACAGTTCAAAGCCAGCCCTGGCAGAGAAGTCCCCATGAGGTGGTAGAGCACTAGCCTTGAACACAAAGAAGCTCAGGGACAGTATCTAGGCCCTGAGTTCAAGCCCCACAAACAGCCCTTAAAAGAAAAGTGCATTGAACAGACCTGGATGATGAACTTTGAATTTCTCTGATACTCTGTACAAGATGTTTGGGGAACTTATACTGTGGATAACTAGCTATTAAAAATGGTAACAGTGGGCTGGGAAGGTGGCTCAGTTATAGAGTGCTTGCCTTGCATGCATGACGCCCAGGTTCGATTCCTCAGCACCACATAAGCAGAAAAGGCCAAAGTGGCGCTGTGGTTCAAGCGGTAGAACGCTAGCCTTGAGCTGAAAAGCTGAGGGACAGTGCCCAGGCCCAGAGTTCAGGCCCCACAACCAACAACAACAACAGAAAAAATGGTAACACTTAAGATGAAAACCTAGAACAAACTTCTACCTCTCTATGGTAGGACCAAATACTTTTCAGACTTTCCACTCTGCTGCCAAACCGAGGGATAATTTATTTTTTCATGTAATCCCTGAGGAATTTAAAAAAAATTACACCCCACAGTATAACCCCTGCTTTCACTATATTTGATGTCAGTATAATTTGTGGAGGAGATGGGGAAAAACAAGTTGTTTAAGGATACAGGTAGACCTGTTGCAACAAAGAAGTACAAGTTGTCATGTTGAAAACGAGCTTTACAACGTTGGTGGGGTGGGGGGAGATTGGGGGGGAGGCTAGGAAGGGATGTGAAGGGTAAACAAAGGAGGAGGCTGCAATGCTTGATAAGAAATGTACGCATTATCCTGCCCATGTAATTGTAACCCCTCTGTACACTATGTTCACAAAAAAAAATTGTAAATAAAATTTTTTAAAAAATTACATTAAGTTAGATATGAATCTGAGGGGGTTTTGCCAGGCACCAGTAGCTCATGCCTGTAATTCTAGCTACTCAGATCTGAAGATCACAGAATCACAGTTCAAAGCTAGACCAGGAAAGAAAGTCTATGAGACTCTTATCTCCAGTTTACCACAGAAAAAGCTGTAAGGAGCATTGTGGCTCAAGTGGTAAAGTACTAGCCTTGAACAAAAGGAAGTCAGAGACAGCATCCAGACCACACAGTTCGAGCCCCAGAACCTCCCAAAAAAAATCTGTTTGTTTTTTTGAGATAGCATCTCATTATATAATCCTTGAACTCATAGTCGTCCTGCTTCAGCATCCTAAATGCTGGGACTGCAGGTGCACACTACCACACCTGGTTCTTTTTTGGGGGAGGGGGGAGGGGGTCCGGTCCTGGGGCCTGAACTCTGGGCCTGGGCGCTGTCCCTCAGCTCTTCAGCTCAAGGCAGCGCTCTATTACTTGAGCCACAGCACCACTTCCGGCTTTTTTTCTTTTTGCTTATGTGGTGCTGAGAAATCGAAACCCAGGGCGTCATGCATGCAAGGCAAGCGCTCTACCACTGAGCTACCTTCCCAGCCCACACCTGGTTCTTATATTCTTGATAAAGTTTTCCATCAAGCTGGGCACTAGTAGCTCATACCTGTAATCCTAGCTACTCAGGAGGTTGAGATCTGAAGTCTGTGTGACTCTTTTTTTTTTAATTTTATTTTATTTTATTTGTGAACATACTGTACAGAGGGGTTACAATTACATGGGCAGGATAATGCGTACATTTCTTACCAAGCATTGCAGCCTCCTCCTTTGTTTACCCTTCACATCCCTTCCCAGCCTCCCTCCTCCCCCCCCAATCCCAATCCTTCTCCTTCCCCCCCCCCTTCCCCGTGAGACTCTTTAACTCCAATAAACTACTCAGAAAAACTGCCAGAAGAGATGCTATAGCTCAAGGGGTAGAGCACTAGCCTTGAGCAAAAAGAAGCTCAAGGACAGTGCCCAGGCCAAGTTCAAGCCCCAGGACTGGAGAGAGGGGGGCCGTGCGGGGAGGGAGAGAGCATCATTTGTGTCAGGTTTTGTGTTTTACCTTTTGGGTGTTTTTTTCTTTTTTTTTGTGGGGGGGAGGGGGCGATAGTGCCAGTTCTAAGACTTGAACTCAGGGTTTGCTCAAGGCTAGTGGCTAGTGCTCTACCACTTGAACCACAACTCTACTTCCATATGTATATAATGTATTATTCTCATATGAGAATAATTTGTTCATTTAATATGTAGGGCACTTTATAACATTTGGGTTTTATTGACAACTCTACTTTTTTACTAGGTAAGTCCCTCAGAAACTGGTAAAGCTATATTAATTCTTATTTCCTAAGGTACATTTTAACTGCTCAAAAAATATTGCTGAGTTAATGAGTAAACGGAGTAGATAAGAGGAGAAAAATATCAACATAAGTTAATCAGGATTATTCCAGAATTGTCCTAAGTAGTCAATTTCCTGTAGAGTCAGCTCTGATGTTCTTCTCACATGTGACTAGTGACACAAGAAGTATGCATTGATGTTTCTGTGGAATGATTTCATTTCATTAGCAAGTTTCTATGTACACGGCAGTACCAAGAAGGTAAGGGATTTACTAGGGTTACAGTTACCCCAGAATTTACTGGGGTTACAATTGGGTGAACTATTACTAGATGTGTACATGGTGCTTCTTATTATTAAAAAGAATTAAGAGCTGGGCACCAATGGCTCATGCCTGTAATCCTAGCTACTCAGGAGGCTGAGATCTGAGGATCACGGTTCAAAGCCAGCCCAGGCAGGAAAGTCCATGAGACTCTTATCTCCATTTAACAACCAGAAAACTGTTAAGTGCTGTGGCTCAAGTGGTAGAGTGCTTGCCTTGAGTTGAAGAGCTGAGGGACAGCGCCCAGGCCCAGAGTTCAAGCCCCACAACTGACAAAAAACAAAAAGAATTAAGAGGTCATATAATACTGCCAGCTCACACCTGTAACATTAGCTACTCAGGAAGCTGAGATCAGAGACTCTAATAATCATAGTTCTAAGCCAGTCCAGGCAGCAAAAAATTAGAAGTGGAATTGTGGCTCAAATGAAAGAGCACCAGCCTTGAGTGAAAAAGCCAATCGAGAATATAAGGTTATGAGTTCAAATGCCAGAATTGGCATTTAATTAATTAGCTAAAATGGAACTAAAAACTTGTTTTTCTCATTTCCTAGCAGATGCCAGCCAGATCCTAGAAGATTCTTACTCCTGACTCCTTCTACCCAAGTATTCTTCATTTTGTGGTTCTTATCTAATAAAAGAACAGTAAACCCTTTTGACTTGCAAACTGACAATTACCTTTTTTTCCCCTTGACTTTTAACTCCTCAACCTTGAATGCCAGAACTCTCATATGCCATTGAGATAGTGTTTGATTGTTTGGTTAAATACCTGCAACCCCAAAATAAAAAATCACATCAGCCTGGGCAGGAAAGTCCGGGAGACTCTTATCTCTAACGAACCACCAGAAAACTGGAAGTGGCATTGTGGTTCAAGTGGTAGAGCACTCACATTGAGCTGAAGAGCTGAGGGACAGCACCCAGGCCCAGAGTACAAGCCCCATGACCACCAACAACAACAACAAAATCACATCCTATTCTTTTTAATGGAAACAATTATTTGAAGTTGCCTTAAAGGATCCAGCTAAAGTGGGCAGGAGGTTTGAATTGTTGTGTTCTCTGACACACATAAACCAAATTCTTTTACTTTGTTTTTTTTTGTTGTTTAATT